CAGTATCCGATTTTAAGGTAGATCGATTCATTTAGTAAGAGATCGATCGTTCTTCGAAGCGTAATGGCGGATTCGGAAATTCAAGATATATTTTGATATCATTTCATTCCTGTTGTTCACTGAATGTTAAACAAGGATAAAATAATATCTGTATATACTCAGGTGATGTTTCTTAATGCTGTTGGCAGCCCTGCCCTGTAGTTGGTTCGTAACATTTCATCTTGGTCTCTTTCATTTCCTTGTTTTTACCTTTAACTATCATAGATTCTGTATCGTACTTACATCGTTTAACCGTTATCAGATTTGATTTTTATAAGTATAGGCATTTAAAAACTTAAAAAGTCGTACGTTTTCATATAATAATTTTTATCGTGATTTTGTTGCACTATTAAACAAATATAGTTTATAATATATACAATAAAACATTTTAACATTTTCTTTTAGATCTCTATTATTTTATTGAAAATTAGTTCTACATGTCGTGTTCCAAAGAATCTAAAGTTATAATATCTTTACTGTATCTACATTGCCTACATTTACACGCGTTATCAGTTAACATTAATCGGGTTTAATATCCGTAGTTACAACTAGTAATTACTACTGACAAAATGTATAAATAAATGCTAGTTAAATTCTAATTTATACCAATTGACACTGACAGTTGTCACCGGATTGAATTTATATACGATATTTTACCGATTTTATATTAGTAATTGATTTATGTCATAATTACAGATGTTAGATTGAACCTAGATTTTTATTTTAAATTAAAATTATTTTACTCGGAGGCAAATCAGAATCATGTTTTAATTGTTTTTGTTGAATTTTTACGATCCCAGTGAGAAATCATCAAATTGTCATCGATTCACCGTCTATTCCATTGACATTTCTCGTGAGATGTCACAAAAAAATTTTTAATTGAATCGATCTTCAATAGATCAATTCATTCAGCTCCGATTTTTAAATAGATCGATTTCAATCAATCCGATATTAATTCGTTTAAAAAATCGAATTAATGGAGATCGCACATCCTTAGTATTATATAGGGTGTTAGTTAAGTATGTTCCCAAACTCAACAAAGCGATTCTTTGGTTTATTTCAAGTAAAAAAGTTCATATAAACATGTGTCCTAAACGGCTTAGTTTCCGAAATAAAAAAATTTAAACGTGTAGTAATAATCTGTTTATTTGAAAGAAATACAACTTGAACTAGTCAAAAACTAGTCAAAAAAACAGAAAAACAAAAACAGGTTTCAGTTCTTCTGATGAAATAAAACAATTAGATGAATTATTGAAAAATCCACCTTGCGCCATGATACATCCATCGAGCCTTCTTCTCAAACATTGACGTACACGCTCAAAGATACCAGGTGTGTTACGTATTGCCTCGCATGAAGCAACTATTCCATACCTCAAATCATTCTCATTCTCAATTGGGATGGTATAAACCAATGATTTCAGATGCCCCCAAAGGAAATAATCCAAAGGATTTAAGTCTGGTGATCTAGGAGGCCAAGGTTGAGTTCCTACTCGACCTATCCAGCAATTATTGTACACTCTATCCAAATATTGACGAACTGTGATGCTGAAGTGGGCTGGAGCGCCATCATGCATGAACCACATTGTATGTCTCATCATTAGTGGCACTTCTTGTAAAAGTTGACGTAGATCTTCTTCAAGAAATTCCCGATATGATGCACCAAGTCTTAATGGAAGAAAGTAAGGCCCAATTAAGAAATCACCAACAATACCAACCCATACATTCAATGAAAATTGTTGTTGAAATCTCGATTCGACTATCGCGTGTGGGTTATCTTCACTCCATAAATGGTTATTATGAAAATTAATAATTGCGTTTCTGGAGAAGTTAGCCTCGTCAGTGAAGAGAATTTGAAATAAGAATTGAGGATTTTCTTCTAGTCTCTGAAGAATCCATCGAAAAAAAGCTAGTCTTTGTGGAAAATCGCATGGTAAAAGTCTCTGTACACGTTGAATGTGATAAGGATATAACTGTTGGTCTTTCAAAATTCTCCAGATGACATACCATAATTACTCACATTTAATGTCCTAGATATTTTCCTTTTGCTCGTTTCTGGATGTGCTTCGATTTCGTTAAGAACAGCTTCCTCTAGTACTGGTGTTCTAATTGTCATAGGCTTTCCAAGATCAATAGTATTCCTTACGAAAGAACCTTTTTCTCGAAGATAGCGGTGAATATTCGCAAATGTTTTATGACATGGTAAATTGCGTTGGGGATATCTTTCTGCATAAATACGCTTCGCCTTACATGAGTTACCATTTGCAAGACCGTAGGCAAAGTGCATATCTGCCATTTCAAAATTTGTAAACTTAGGTATGATGAAACCGATTTTGATGGATTGAAACAATTTGGTCCGAAAACGTACATACAAGCTAACTGACCCGCAGCAACATCAAGATTGAAGTCTATTTTTGATTTTGTGACTTTGACTTTGACTTTATCACTTTGTTTACGGTTATGCGAATAGTAACTCACATGAAACAAGGCATATTTATGCAGGAAGATATCTCCAACACAATTTATCGTTTCGTCAAACATTTGCGAACATTCACCTGTATTTCGGAAACTAAGTCGTTTATGACACATGTTTATATGGACTTTTTTACTTGAAATAAACCAAAGAATCGCTCTGTTGAGTTTGAGAACATGCTTAACTAACACCCTGTATATACTTTAAAACATTAATTGAGAGTTGTGAGTGTCTGTTACTCTGTGTAAAAAATGGATAAACCATATTGTTCGTCGATGATACATTTGATTAGCGGTAGAGAACTTGGATTGCGAAATGCGCTTATTTGCAATACTAATACATGGTGCTGTCAATTTAGATAATCGAATCAATTTAATTTTTAATACATTTATTTACTACGCGAGAACCTCGTATCCGACATCCTTCAATCATATCGCAACTATTCTTCGGAGTATAAAGTATCTAAAAAGAAAAAATCCCCACTTTGAGATATGTAAAAAAATGTGGAAGGGATCACTATTTTAAAGAAGAACCCGGACAACATTATTGCATCAGTCTCTCAGACGGATTCGACGGACAGCTATCGCTAAATTCTCCGAGAATAAATCTCAAGCTATGAACTATTACGTTCCGATTTAAGGTAATAGTTCATAGCTTGAGATTTTTTAATGAAGCACGCGGGGGATAGTAAGTTTGTGTCAATTACATAAAAAATTGTGGTAAATGCTCACCTTTACACAGTCCGCTCCAAATGACCTCAGAGTGATCTTGATCTTGACCCTCAAGGAGGTTAAAGTCACTGACCGCTTGTTATTCGTTAAAAAGTTATTAATGAAAATGTTTTTTGAATAATAAGTAATTCTTGAACTCATCCTTAATGTACCATGGTTGGGTTAGGATTAGGTTATTATGTCCTCATAGGTATTATTAATCTAACTGTAACCCAACTATGTAGGGGAAAGTGGGGGAACTGTGCGCAGCGGGTAATTGTGCGCATCCTGGTTTGGTACTTTTCCAATATATGAAGACATCACCGTGGCGAAATTTTTACGCAGGAAGTCGTTCTCTTAAGCTATAACTACAAAAGATACGACGTACATACATCACTAGCCAGAGAAATACAAAAAAGTGAAATTACATCTTTTCTTGATATTTTAGCATTCAAAAAATAAGGTGGTAAGACCATATTTTTAATTTGTTTGTTTAAAATTATATATGTTATTAAAATACGTTATTATGTTCATATTTTGAGCTGTTATTTATTAAGTTTGGTTAGGAATTGTTGAAGTAATCGTATTTCGTACCGAGTCAGGTCGCGGCGGGCAACTGTGCGCAAGCATTTTAAAATGCGCACAATTACCCATCTTTCATATACTGTATGACTAGCACTAGTTTTTTCGTTTCTTTTTGGCATTACTATTTTATTTTGCCATTTTATTTTGCCAAAGTCTATGTGCATTATTATTATATTAGTTTTGTATTTTTTCTTAATATATACAATGTACATTTAAAACATGTTTAATATATGTTTATATTGCAATATAATGAATGTATGTTCTGATTTCTATGTCAACATTCCACAATTCATTCATTTCTTACGACTTTTGTTTTGCGCATAATTACCCGACGCGCGAGAAATTTTTTCGCTTTTCCGTTTTTTCCTTTTTGCCTAATACAACCTTATGAATGAAAATCTGTTCAAGATAAGAATACGTAATGGTAGAAGAATGTTTATAGTTTCTATTTCCATATTTATATCACTTTGATCTTAGAAAACCATCCCAAGAAAACAAATATCCCTTAGGTGCACACACTTAATTCGCTTACATTACCATGATTTGGTTAGGATTATGTTATTATATCATGGAGCAACATGTTCACTCTGCTAAATCAGCAGACGAACTGTTATAGTGCTTCAACACAGCGTTGTTTCCTTATCAATGTTATTGTAGGTCATAATTCAAATATGTGTACAAATACAAAGGCAGCTCTACCTCCCCCCCTCTTTCAAGAGACGTATACGACTTCCATAATTGTATTGTTACACATAGGTTTCGAAATCTATTTTAAAGCAGAGAATTATCCTTTACATTTTATTCATTACTTGACGATACATCATTTAATGGATATAAAAAAAGAAGTCATTAATTTTAAAAATTATTATATGTCTATGGTATATGGTTGGGTTAAAGTTAGATTTTTAATACCCATGAGTATATAATAACCTAACTCTAACCCAACCATGGTACATCTCAAGAGTGAATTCAAAAATTATTTATTCTTCATAAAAACGTTTTCATTAATAACTTTTTTATGAATAACGAGCGATGGAAAAGGTCAGTGACTTTGATCTTATTGAGGATCAAGGTCAAGGTCATTCGGAGGTCATTTGGGGCGGGCTGTGAAGGTGAACATTTACCAAAATTTTGTGTACACATTTAACATATATACATTTTTTCCACGTATCGCTTACCTTATATTTCTTTTACAGGGTATCTTCTTAGTCAAAACCTCGCTTACATCTTGGGAAGGAGATACTCATTAACGCCTGCGGCTTATAAATATTTAGACATAAGAATTGTAGTGCTTGTATCCCATGTGGAAATTGCAATTGGTGATACTCGAGATAACCGCATAATCCTACCTCATGCAACATGGAAGGCATTCATCGACAGACGCGAGGATATTGAGCAGCTCCTGCGGTCTGTAATTACGCCACCATCCCTAACCATTCAAGGTCTGAATGTGGAATTTTGTAAACTGTATAGTACATATAAAGTAAAATTATCATTATGCAGTAAATTTTTGTATATAATGCCATCAACCTTGCTTTTTATGCTTGATCTCGAACCAGTGATGCAGGTCGGGCCGAGTTTCTGGCGCATGCGCGTCAAATATCAGTATTGTACTTGTTACCAGTAAATGGGAATTCATTAGTCGCCTACGTAAAATTTGTTAAAAATTTTTTTTAATTATAATATATTTTATACATTTTACATATATTACTTACAAACAAATTCACATATATTAAAAATATGACAATTTGCATTTAATAATAAAATATTAGCTGAAGAATAAGAGAAAAGTGTAAAATAATTTATGAAACAGTTTTTTTTATGTTAAAATATTTTATTTGGCAGAATTTCGTATCAACATTTGTTACAAGAGTAAGAGAAACTGCCAAAAATCTTACAAGTATTCGTAAAATAAATGGATATTTCTTTTTTTTTTTGCGTACGAGAGGAAAATCTTCGTATAACTCCTAATATTTAATTATAACAAAAATAAAATTTGAACAAACATAAATATAACAAAAATAAATATTTCACAAAATAATTATGTCACAAAAATTATTGCATTTTATATTATACTTTTAAATATAAAAATAAAAATTGTTAATTACGCATTTAAATATTGAAATGTCTTTAAATTAACTTAAAATCTAAAAACAACATAAATGATTAATAATATTAATAGTAATAACATGCAATATATGATTAATAATAATAATAATAATCATGACATAAAAATATAACGTTTTTAACAAGCATTAAAAATATTGGCTAGGTCTAACTTTAAACAAAATAATAATTAAAAAAATAAAAATAAAGTTATATCTCATCAAATCTTGTTTCGTCAGATTTACTCTTATATTCCCATAAATTTTGTGCATTATGCAGTTCTAAATGCCTAGGATCAGTTTTACATATAATTTTTTCTGTTTTACATCTGATGAGTTTGTTGTATGCAGTACATGTTGTTGTATTTTCCTGTTGGTAAGGAGCTAATTAACTATTTCTTAAAAATATTTTCATCTAGATGTAGCCATGAAGATTGGAATTCCCTAATCTTCCGTTTCTTTCCCTTTACACTATTGGTTATCATTGGTATAGGTCGTGTAAGTAATGTAGGAGAAATGTTTTGGCGCGCAGTTCTTGGCGGTTCTTCATAGGCGTAGGCTAGGTTAAGGTAAGATAAGTATATTATTTATTTATTTTATAATATGGATTTAATTGGAAAAGGAGCAATTAAGAAACGTAAGATTAGAGAATTCCAATCTTCATTGCTAGATGAGAATATTTTTAAGGGATGGTTGGCTCCTTCCCATCAAGAAAATACAGCAATGTGTACTGTAACAAACTCATCAGATGTGTTGTAAAACAGATTTAATTCGACACTCACAGACAGTCAAACATATCGAAAATGTATATATTAAAAAACCGATTGATCCAATTAGTGACAATAAATTAACAGAATTATCACATAAAGATAAAGTCAAACGATTTGAAATTAAATTAGCAGCATTTTATGCTGAACATAATATTGCTTTTCAAACTATTGAACACTTAATTCCACTAATGAAAGATATTTGTGTAGATCCTAAGGTTGTACAAGATGTTACATTGAGCCGAACTAAATGTTCAAATGTCGTTAAAGATATATTAGCTAAACGTGAAATTGAAAAAATTGTCGATAACTTACAATCTTCTAGATTTTCGATTTTAATCGACGAAAGTACAGATATTTTGGATACAAAATTATTGTTCGTTCTTATTCGGTATGTTTCTCCTTTAAATAAAAAAGTAATGACACAATTATTAGAATTAGTTTCTTTAGATGCTAAAGATTGTTCTGCTCGCAAACTATTCGAAGTTTTTGAAAATCTTTTAGAAGAAAAAAGAATTCCAATTAAGAATATAGTCGGGATAGCATGTGATAATGCATCGGTTATGATAGGACGCAATAATTCTTTTATGCAACATTTAAAATTAAAAGTCTCGCGATTAGTAACGTTAAATTATATTTGCCATTCCTCCGCAATTGTTGCCAGTAAAGCTTGCGAAAAATTGCCTTCATCTTGCGAAAATTTAATTAGAAGAGTATAGTACTTGACACGATCTCGAGTGGTTGCACACACAAATGCAAAGTATTTTATTTGACACATTGTTTGACATGTAAATTATATTAAATAGTGACCACTGTACATTCACGTTTTACTGGATTTATTGCTTTCAATTTATATGATACTATGGGATATCTAAAGACAAGGAGATGTTGCGACATGGACTTGATTCTAATTTGCATGGTTACACTTCTATATTAATAGTGGCCTTGAATCCTGAGATTTTTATACTAGTCAGCGATGTTGTTATAACTAATGTATGCACCTTTAATTGTCAATTAGTTTAAAAAAAGCGTTTAATAGGTTATATCTAGTATGTTATAGTTACGATCTTATAATTATGTTGCTTATTGTTTTTTATTAATCCGTGTATTTTGTGAACGATTGTTATACATTGAAAATGACTCAAACGCAGTCGAAACGTATGTACGATTTTTAATTATGATTATTATATTTGAATTTCTTATTATACATATATATTTACTGGTTCGATGCCCTTCTATTACTAATATAAATTAGAAGTATTTCCACTTATATTTCGAGCAGTGCGAAACGATGTGCAATTTTAGGAGAATTTCAAGAATTTTTCGAAGTGGAAAGGAATAAGTTATTAAAATTATATCAAATACTAGATGGCTCGTTTTAGAAAAGCGTGTTGTCAGAATTCTTTAAAATTGGACCGTATTACAAAATTATTTTATTTTAGCAGTAATTGAAGATAAATTAAAATCCGCCGAAGTTATTTTATCTCACTTAAACGATGACACTATCGAAGCATATTTTCTATTTTGAAAATACGTGTTAAATTTTTTCAATGGTTTTAATGTTTTGTTTCAATCTCGTAAAATTTTAATTCATAAATTATTTGAATGTAGCCAGCAATTGATTCGTCAATTGGCTCGAAATTTTATGACAATAAATTCATTAAAAGGTATTAGTAATTTAAATGTAGATGACGAACAAAATTTATTACATTTAGAAAATATACATGTTGGATTGGAATGTGAGAATCTTTTAGAATCATTACCTTTGGACAACAAATTATATTAACATGTGTAGATTTTTATAAAACGGCAGTTCGAGAAATGGTAAAACGCCGTACAAGGATCTCCTTTTTGAATATTTAACTTTCTTAGATCCAAAGATTGCTCTTTATGATGAAAATAGAACAAAAATTAAAGCTTCAATTCATATTGCTACAATTGTAGAAGACGTTACTAAATTAGATTTTGAATGGCAAATTTTATCTTCCACTTTTAATGATGAACAAAAAAATGAATTAGCTGCTTTAGAAATTGATGTAATGTGGGGCAAAATAGTAGAATATAAAGATATTAATGATGAAAAAATATTTCCTAATTTAAAGTTATTAGTCGAAGTAGTACTCTCTCTTCCTCATTCTAATGCCGAGGCCGAACGAATTTTTTCTATAGTTACAGACGTCGAAAATAAAAAAGAAACCGATTATCTAACGATACTGTTTCTGCAATTTGCATAGTTCGGTCAAGCATTCAAGCAGAAAATATTGAATGTTAAAATTTTAAAATTGATCCTAGGCATTTAGAACTGCATAATGGCCAAAATTTATGGAAACATAAGGATAAATCTGATGAAACAAGATCTGATGAGACATAATTTTGCTTTTATTTTTTTAATTATTTTGCTTAGTCATACATCTAGCCGATATTTTTTGATGCATGTTAGAATCTTTATATTTTTATTGTATGATTATTATTATTATTATTTATATACTGCATGTTATTATGTTATCATTTATTGGATGTTATTATCATTAATATTACTAATAATTTATGTTTTTTCCAGATTTTAATTTAATTTTTAAAACTCTTGATTATTGAAATGATTAGAAGAAGTATAAAATGCAGTAATTTTTTTGTGATATAATGAAATATTTATTTTTGTTATTGCGAGAGATTTCAATTTTATTTTTGTTATTAATAAGTATCTTTTTAAGGGGGGTTTTTAGCGGATAGGCGGCCTGAGTAGTGTTCCCTTGTGGATACACTCTGGTTGAATCCCGTACACCGGGAGGCTCGTGTTCCGGGCGTCTTCCCTTCACGGGGTTATAACTAACTTCAGTTATACACCCGTGTAGGGGCTATGCGAAGATTTTCCCCTCCAACGCAAAAAAAAGGAAATATATATTTATTTTACGAATACTTGTAAGATTTTTGGTAGTTTCTCTTACCCTTGTAAGAAATGTTGGTACGAAATTCTGCCAAATAAAATATTTTAATATAAAAAAATTGTTTCATAAATTATTTTACACTTTTCTCTTATTCTTCAGCTAATATTTTATTATTAAATGCAAATTGTCATATTTTTAATATTTGTGAATTTGTTTGTAAGTAATATACACTGCTCAAAAAAATTATGGCATAGAAAAATTATGGGCAAAAATTGGCCAATTTTGACTAACGATAACTTTGCGAAAAATTATCGTAGGATAACGGTTTTTTTTTAAATTAAAGCTTGAAATCTCTTCTTTAAGACGCTGATTTTAAGATTGATGCACCCTTGCCATTGTAACTCTAAAAAATATGAGGGTGTGTTTGTCACATTGAAAATTGCAAAGTTTAACGAAACGTACGGACTTTGTAAAATTTTTTTAGGGAATGCCGTATGCA